AGGCAGGTTGGCTAAGGTTGAAGGAGAGCTGCGCACAGGTTCCAGAAAGGGGAGGATTTGCATGGAGACCTCCCACCCTGAGAATCAGGGAGACACTTGAGAAATAGGCTCAGGCCTAGCTGTGGGGCTCAGGAAGACTCTGGGGCATCTCCACCATAGCCTGGGCTCTGCTTCCCCTCACTCTCCTCCCTCATTGTATAGGTGGCTGCCTGCAGAGAATTCTGGGAAGGCACCTGGGTGTCACCTGGGATGATAACCTCTCCCTCCTTCATGAGGACAGTCTGTCCTGTCCTCACTGATCTCTGTGTCGCTTCCTCCTTGCAGGGTCTTGGGCTGAGGCTGTGCTGACTCAGCCTCACTCGGTGTCAGAGTCCCTGGGGCAGAAGGCCACCATCTCCTGCACTCTCACCAGCGGCGACATTGGAGACAACTATGTGCACTGGTACCAGCAGCACCCAGGCAGTGCCCCCACCACCATGATCTACAAGGATGACCGAAGACCCCCAGGGTTCCTGATCAGTTCTCTGGCTGCAGTGACAGCTCCTCCCATGCTGCCTACCTGGCCATCTCTGAGCTGCAGCCTGAGGATGAGGCTGACTAGGACTGTCAGTCTAGTCATGACAGCGGCTGTAAGAGCACAGTAATTCGGACTCTCGGGAAAGTGAGATGAAAACTCCTCAGAGTCTACTCATCCTATGTCTGCCCTCAACATGTCCCCACCAGGGAGGGTTGTGCGTCTTGTCCCCTGCTGGAATGTTCATGTTGAGACTGTATGTTTATGAGTCCCTCTATTTTCTTTCCAAAGATTTTGCCTCCACATCATGGTGGCTAATTTTCTATCTCTTTGCAATCACATCATGAAGGTGATTTGCTTCAAACAGGGTTTCAGAGCCTCAGCACTACTGACCGTGTGGCTGGATCATTCCTTGTGCAGGGGGCTGTTCTGTGTGTGTACAATGTTTACCAACATTCTCTGGACTCCAGACAGCAGATATCAGGAGCACCCTACTCTACAAGTCATGACACATGTGAACACCTGCAGACATTTCCAAATATCCCCTGGGATGGGGGTACGTAACCCCAGTTAGAGACCTACTGGGTGAAAAGCACATATTCTCAGCTATTAGGAGCCCTTTGATATTGAGTCCTGTTCCTGCCATTCAGCTGGAGAGAGGGCTGGATGGGTCACCTCTCTGTGCTTCCGCTTTCCCATCTGTTACACAAAACAGGTGCACAGACTCAAGTGGGGTCAGAGAACCTGTGACCCAATCACACAGAATCTCCTCTCAACCAGAGTGAGGATTCTTGCCCAAATCAGGTGTCCAATTAATATGTTAAATTTTTACACAACGCGTATGAAATACAGCAGATCCATCTTCATTTGTTCTCTGAGGGAGTATGTCTCAAGCATAGGATACAAAGATGAATAAGAACATGACAGATTCATGTGCTCTTGGAGTTTGCATTGTAGTGTGGGTACAAGACCACAGACGGAGCAGCAGGTGGACGGTGGCATCATTATAAGGCCAGAAATCGACCCCCATGAGCAAATAAACTGCCAAGTGCACCTTAGTTCTTTGAATGCCTGCTCACATTTCAGTCAACTCAGAGACTATAAGATGTGCAACTGTCACACGATAGTAAACACACAGCTCAAAACCCACCATACGATGGATGGAATTTAATATTGAACTCCTCCACCCCAAACCCCCAAAAGGACCCTGCTAGAAAAGCTCATGAAGGAAGAATGAGGGGTTTGAAATCTCAGTGTCCAAAGACCCGATCCTGCCCTGGGGAGAGTGCATGAAGGGGACACACAGATGATGGTCTGAGGACGAACACACCGGTCTGGACTTTCACCTACTCAAATGCGTCATCCGTGAACCTCACGGCTCCGAAACTCAGGATGCCTTGCTCTTCCTTCATGTTCTCAGTCAGTACAACAAGCAGATCAGCTCACCATTCAGGAGCTTACAACATAAACCCTTTACGTGAGAGTAGTTGGACTCCATTGTTTTAATGGACAAGGGCATTTGAACAGTAACAATATACATACATGCTAAAGCATAGATCAATGATGTGATGTGTTGTCTGTCATTTGTTTTCACATTTAGTGAGGTATTGGGATGAGGGATAGAGAAGGGTGGGAAATCAAAGAAAATGAGTCCTACTGATGATGGTTGAGGTTGGATGATGGGTGCAAGTCGTTCTTTGAAATATTCTGTATAGTTTGTGCAACTTGAAAATTGTTCACAATATACATATTTTAAACGTGCTATTCTTATTTGTAATGATACAGGTCTGTCCGGCTGGTAAGAGACACTCAGAGATGCCAAAATGTGTGTTTTCACTGTGATCTCAAGTTTAAGCCCATGTACTCCTGACAGACAGAGGAGGAGTTGGCTTGGAGAATGTGAAACGGACAGCAATGCAGAGTTTTGAAGTTACAAGGAAGTGAGGGAAGCTGGAGGTCTGAGAACAAGGAGAGGGGCTGGGGGTGCTGCGGAGGGGGCAGGGACCAGACCACAAAGGGCCCTCAGGGGAGCTGAGGAGATGGGGGTTGATGCAAACAGCAGAAAGGATCACTGAAGGGCATTAGGCAGGGGGCTGCTTTATCCCGAGCTGAGTGGGAAGGGTCCCTCTGAAGGCCTTGAGGAGAGACAGCCTGAGGGAAGCAGGGATCCTGGTCGTAGATCAGTTACTAACAGGCCCTGTGAGTCTAGAAGTTTGGGGACCACGTGCACAGATACAGCAGAGTTGGTTATGGGAACAGTGAGGAAGTGATGGTTCATGGATTCAGATGCCGAGACATTCACCACATCAGCGAGAACTTTAAAATCTCTCATTTATCTTGTTGCTAAGGTAGGATGAGTAAGAAAATACAGGTAGGAAAAATTTTGTAAAAAATAGAAACAAATTTTATGACGCTTAAGACAAAATCCTGATAGGAAATATGGAGCTTAAGAAATACAGAGCTCAATTCATAAAATAGAGAAGTATGTTTCACATTCACTGGTAAAGGTAAAGCTCACCAAAGCCATTTTTTCACCCAACACTAAATGAAGTCTAATCTCTGTCAAAAATTAAATTGCATTGCGTGACTTCTGAAATGTTTGTTGAATTATCCCCTTTTGAATGTGCCACTAGCTTTATTCCTGGAAAATTCCCATTCTGTTCCATTTCCCTGAACAGCCTCTACATGCCCTTCAAACCAGATAATTGTCTCCTTTCCTGTGACACCCGCCCTGATGCACATCTGGGTCATTTAGCTTTTGTGAGTATGCACGCTAAATCCTTATGTGTGGATGTGTTTGCACATCCCATGGACCAGGACTCCTTGTGAGAGTGAGAAACTATAGTAATTACACACACTGTATCATAATCACAGTATTTAGGAGTCAGACAGGTATGTGTGACCAGAAACAGTGACCTGCTGAGCTGCAGAAACCAGCTGGGCTGTCATGGCTTTGGGCTATGGTGAGGGGGGTGGGCCCTGTGACCAGCAGGGGGAGCTGTGGGACTGCCCTGTGGTCCCTACACAGCTGCTCAGTGAGGGCTAGTCACTCAAAGGAGCCTGGGCCTGGGGGCTCGGCCCTGTGCTCACTGATGGGGACTCTGCAGCTGTGCCCTCTCTGGCCTGGCAGAGTCCCCTGAGCAGGGACCTTTGTGTTGTCTCAGCAGGTGCTTCCTCCCAGGGCTCTCCCAAGAGGTGAAGCCAACATCCATCCTCCTCAGTGTGTGGTGTGAGCTGAGCTCCAGCTCCAGGGCTCAGGGAGGGGCTGGCCAATCACTGGATGGAAAGCCATTTGCATGGACAGCCCCTCCTGTGGCAGAGGGTGGAAAAGAAAAGGAGGCCTGGGGCAGCCCAGCCCCACTGTGGGGACCAGGGGCTGTGTGCACCATGGCCTGGACTCCTCTCCTCTCGTGCTCCTCTCTCACTGCACAGGTAAAGGCAGGCCCCAGGGACACAGGGTGTCCTCCAGCTTCTCTTCCTTCTTTCACAGACTCCTGAGAAACCTTACCTGGGTCCCTGCCCCATCATCCATGAGGGTCTGTGTTTGCAGGTTCCATCTCTTAGCCTGTGCTGACTCAGCTGCTCTTCCTCTCTACATGTCCCGGAACATCAGCCAGACTCACCTGCACCCTGAGAAGTGACGTCAGTGTTGGCAGCAAAGATATATTCTGGTACCAGCAGAAGCCAGGGATCCCTCCCCCGTGTCTCCTCTACTACCACACAGACTCAGATAAGCAGCAGGGCTCCAGGACCCCAGCTGCTTCTCTGGATCCAAAGATGCCTCGGCCAATGCAGGGCTTCTGCTCATCTCTGGGCAGCAGCCTGAGGATGAGGCTGACTATTCGTGTGCAATCTGGCACAGTGAGGCTTCTGACAGTGACAGAGGCAAATGGGAAATGGGACAAAAACCTCAGCCTGCTCAGGCACTTGGGATAAATTATTTTGCAATTTAAAACTAACTTGTCTGTACACGAACTACACCTGGAAGTAGCCCCCGGTTCACAGCGACAGTCTGCCCTGATTTCCATTCATTATTTCTGATGTCTCAGGAAAAACCAACACCAAAGAGAAAACCAAATGAAATAAAATAAAAAGCTCATGGTGACCCTGAAAATTTGCCTGATGACCCATATGTGATAAAATCAGGGCCTGTGTAGCTGGGCTTTATGTCTTGAAAGACAGGAAATCAACATTTCCTAGATTTTTTCTTGGTGGGAACCCAGGGTCCATCCAGCAGATGCACAGTCCTCCACAGCAGGGACTCTGCTCTGTGAGGGGTCAAAGCAGAGACCTTCCCTCCCTCCCAGGCTCCTGTGCTTAGATCTGGCTGAGGCTCACTGTGCTCAGGGATAAGACACTAAGAGGTGAGATGCTGTTGTGAGAAACATCCCAGGAGGAATTCCAGCCACAGAGCTGGCCTGGGACACTCGCTGGCTACCTGGACCTATAGTTGTGATGTCACAGAGAAGGGGAGTAAAATGCTGAGCTTCCTCCAGGAGAGTTGGGTGAAGTAGGTCCTGTGGATGTGACTTTCCTAAAGCTGATCTCACTCAGGCCTCATGGGAACCCCTGTGAGTGGGTGTTCCTGAGCCTACAGGTACAGATTTGAGTTTTTCTCTCCTCTTATATCTCAGTGGAGCTTTCCAACTAGACAAGGGGTAGGAGAGATTCAGTGCAATATGAGGGACCAGAAGCTCCCCAATATGTGCATGAAGTAAATCCAACCTGTGAAGCTCTCTAGAAGGACCCAAACCATCTTCTGTAATAACACACACGTTGTAGGTTGTCATGGAAACCCCAAAACCAACGACTTCCAGGCAGAGGCCCTAAGCTTGTGACCTAGAACAGCAGTGATGGGCCTTCAGGCGGTCCAGACCAATCTCCAGCTCCAGGTCAGTCAACCTAACCTCCTCAACCAGGCTGACGATGAGGCTGATTGTCACTGTCAAACAGCTTCACACAACCTCCATGTCATTCCTGGTCCATGGGGAGTGAGACAAGGATCTGCACTCCACTCCCCAGTCTCACCTAACTCTCCTCTGTCCCTGCCTGTGGCCAACAGCAGCCCAGAGTTTGGCTTCTGCTGTCACTTGTGCTACTAACACCAGAGAGACGTATGCTTTTGCGTCATTCTAAATTTATCAATGCAATGAGAACAACCCATTTAACTACTCGTTTTCCAATGTAAGAAAATCACTTTGTCACCAGAACTTACAATCACCCCCCCCGCCTCATGCTGGGTAGGATGACATGGAGAAGAGAAGTCCAACCAGTGTGACCCTGGAGACTCAGGGCCTTGTCTGCTCAGTCCCGTACATGTCCCACTGGAACCTTCCCAAAATGGGTTTCTCTTCTTCTCCTCAGATCACATCCTCGAGGAACTCCTGGATCCCAGGTGCAGGAGAGGACTCTTCCCATTAAGGACCTGGCTCTCAGACCCATCACCTCCTCACTTTCCCCAGTTTAATCCAGTGAATCTTAATTGTTTTGCAGCTATAGTTGTTTTTTGTTTATTTTTTGGGAGGCGAGAGGATATTTGAAGTTGCCTTACATTTTTGGGATCTAGAGTCTATGAACAAACCCTTATTATCACAGAGAACCCTGATATTACAGGAAAATTTCCGGAAAGCCCTGTTCTTTCTTCAATATCAGAATATGGAGCAGTTACCAAATAAACCTGATCAGGGCCCAGTATGGGTTGGGTGACAGATCTTGGATGCCACCAAGTCAAGGAAGGAGGATGAATCTCAGAAAATGACAAATGTTCATAGCAATGTTTTACTGACCCATCTTCTGACTGAAAATAATGATAAAACTAGACTAAAACAGTAAAAACAACCCTGAATATATCCTAGATTCAGAATACAAAAGAAAAAATCTCCAGAACAGCAATAAAGGGCAAATGAGCCCAGAGAGGTCAGCAGGAGGTAGCACACAATTTCCCTGATGGTGCTGTATTCTAGTGGCCAAGGGAGACATCATCCAGCAGTACTTGTGAAGTGGGGGTGAGGGGGCTATCAGGAGTTCCTCACAACAACAGCAACAATAACAGTGACAATAGCATAAGTCAGCCTGCCAGGGTATCCTATATAGATTTTTGTCCTCATGAACCAATAAGGTTCATTGCAGGATTTTGGGTCTTGAACTTGGTTTCAGATGGTCCTACACTAATAGAGACCACAGGCACTGGCAGAAGCAAAGTTAAATGTCAGTTAATCCTGAAATATCGGGCAACATCAGGACTGTGCAATACATCCTTCTATTTAGCAACCTGGAGGTCATTAGTTATCTGGAGACAATTAATATCTCAGCCTGTATCTCCAATAAGAGACCTACTCATTGAATGATTCTGATACTGACATCACAGAGATGCACATGCAAAATAAGGACGCCCTCCAGGAGAGCTGAGTGAAGCCAGAGGGGCTCATGGACCCTGGATCTGAGACCAGCAGGGGTGTTGTTGGGCAGGTCCAGAGAGGGCAGTGTCCTGGGCAAGGCAGGCACAGAGAAGGCTCTACTGGCTCTTGCAGTATTTGGGCAAACAGTGTCCTCACTGAAGTGCGGCTCTTCTGTACCCTTGTTTGCATGGTCAAAAACAAGAGTCTCATGCCCACTACAGAGAACATGGTCTATAACATGTGGCCCCATCTTCCCAATTTGTGCTCAAGAGTCTGTATGTGAAGGCAAAATATTATCTGATTGTGTCACATTTATCAGATATTTCTCAATTTCAGCAGCGGGCTGCCGTAACGACAGAGTCCATGCTGGGAGAGAGAAAAACCTGGGACACACACAGAGTCCAGGCGAGTCTGACTCAGGATAGGCCACTATTTAGTGGTCCATCCATCTGCACGATTCACTAAACAGCAATTATTGGCTGGGCTTGGATGGGGGATTGGAGCCATTGGAGGATTTGACCAGGAAGATAAGGAATCTGATTAAGTTTAAGTCCAGCTGTTCATAGAAGATGAGTGAGGAGGAGGTGAGAGTGAAAGCAGGAGCCTGGTGGGGTTTGTGGATTTGGTACAAAGATCAGACTAGAGTCCTGGATGCTGGATGGAGCAGGTGAGGTGGAGAAGGTTGGTCAGATGCCACATGTTTTTTGGAGGTGAGGAAGGGGATGTCGGAAAGAGGTTTGGAGGCTAGTCCTTGGGGACTGGGTAAAATGTGAGTGAGTCGTACCTCCTGCATGAAGCTCTATGGACACAGGTGTGGGGTTGAGGTCCTGAGCTCATCCTTGTGATGGAAATACAGTCAACAGCCTTCCTGCTTGTTCAGTGGTGACAGGAATGTTGTAGTTGTGAACTGAGTAATCTCAATGGACTTCACTCCTTCTCCGATTTGTTTTACTTGTCCATTCTCCATGATCTCTCATGTCCCCAGGCTGATATCCCACATGGGTCAAAAATGTCCCTGCAGTCCCAGGCATCACATCCACACCATAAACCCTCCTGAATGAGAGTTGCCCTCCATGATCCATTGAAGAGGAATCTCAGACTTTGCCAGGACTGGACCAGATCACCGACACCATCTCCCCTGACTCCATCATGGTGAGTAGGGAGGGGATTGTCTGATTGGTTTGGAAAATGAAAGGCCTGTCCCTGGAGCTGGAACTGGGGTAAGTCACATGCTCACCACAGGACTGGGAGATTTGCGGTCTGAGAGGAGAGGAAAGGACAGAAGTTTTCCCTACGTGGTCCCAGCATGTGCATCATCTGCTCTCAAACCTTGTAATTCGTTCATGTTGGGTCTTCTACTGTGCACACTGGGAGCTGGGCATGAGACACAGGCCAGGGGCACCTGTCTCATAACACTCTGCTTCTGGCGCCCTGATCTTTCTAATGTTCTGCAAAGGGTCATTCTCAGGAGAAATGACACCCACTGCAATCAGTGAGGCCCCGATGTGAAATTCAATAGTCTCCAGAGAGATAGAAAGGAGCAAAAGTCCCTCATGAGGACATCCTCTTCCCAGAAGGGGTGAGAAGGGTGATTTCATCTCAAGAACCCACACTAGTGGCCACTGCCTGCCATCCCCTTGGCTCCTCCCCTGTAACTGCCTCCTGTCTCAGGTGAGGACCAGTCCCAGAGGCCCAGCTCATGGATGTCTAGAGACACACTCCAGTCCAGATCCCTTCTGTCCCATTCCCCAAGGAAGTGATTCCTCAGGTTACTGAGGGCTCATTCTTGAGATTCTCCATCTCACAGGGCACAGGTCTCAGGTGATCTGTCCCAGTTACCTTCCTCTTCTGTGTCCTGGAGCTGGGAACAGAGTGAGCCTGACTCGAAATAGTGAACACCTGACTCTCATACAAGTAGAGAATGAGCCATGTAGAATATTTTATTCACCTCATACATTAGTGAGGAGACCAGTAAACAGTAATGATTGGTCAAAGAGCATAGCAAAAACCAAAGTACTTACATTCCACCAGGAATAGGACCTTTGGAGCAAAGTCTTTGATTGTTGGAGACACACTGCTAAATCTCTAACAGGGAGGGATCACATACAAGGAAAGAATCTGTGTCCTACACAGAAGGGGACCTGCCTCCACGGGGCCAGTCACTGCTCTGCACTTGATCCTGATCCAAGAGGAGTTTGTGTAGGAGACAACCCCTCAGTCCTGACCACTGAACAGCTAAAGGAGTTGTGGACAGACTCACTCCTGAAGAGTCTGAGTAAAGCCTGCCCTGAGGGGATGTGGAGGCTACACAGGGGCCACCTGGCCTAACGCTAATGCAGGGGGACAGTGGACAGAGCAGTGGGGATGGGGGAACTGTCTGATGGGCTTCGGTCACTCTGAAACACAATAGTCAGTCTGGGCCTGGACACCAGGGGGCACTCAGTGCTCATTCCTCAGCTTTCCGTGAGGGTTCACAGCTGCGACCAGCCACCAGCACTGCCTGGTGCCCTCTGCTCAGGGCTCACAGCTGTGAACACCTCACCCCAGGGCCACGCTTAGGAAGCGGCACCTGAGCAAAGGCCAAGTGAGAGATCAGAAAGCGGGGGCTGTGATTTGCATGTGTGGCCCCTCCCTCTCTCAGAGTATGAAGAAGGGGTGGGAGAGATCAGGGGGAAGCTCTGCTTCAGCTGTGGGGCCACAGAAGGCAGGACTCGGTGAAGATCTCCACCATGGCCTGGTCCCCTCTCCTCCTCACCCTCATCGCTCTCTGCACAGGTGACTAGATATGGGGACAAGGGAAGGGGCCTTGGGAAGATGGGTGGGACCTTGATTTCTCCCCTTGCCTCTAGTCCCTGGAATCACCATCTCTGTGTCTCTCTCACTTCCAGGATCCTGGGCCCAGTCTGTGACTCAGCCCGCCTCAGTGTCTGGGACCCTGGGCCAGACAGTCACCATCTCCTGCTCTGGAAGCAGCTCCAACATCGGGTATAGTTATAGTTATGTGGGCTGGTTCCAACAGATCCCAGGAACAGCCCCCAAAACCCTCATCTATGGTAATAACAAACGAGCCTCAGGGGTCCCAGATCGATTCTCTGGCTCCAAGTCTGGCAACACAGCCACCCTGACCATCTCTGGGGTCCAGGCTGAGGACGAGGCCGATTATTACTGTGGTTCCTATGACAGCAGCAGTAGTAGTGACACAGTGCTGCAGGCCCGTGGGGAAGTGAGACAAAAACCTGCTGTGCCCTCAGCCATGGGGCTTCCCTGTGCAGCCCCCACTCCTCAGCCACGTCAGCTGCTTCCTTTGTTTGTGTGGCCAAAAGCAGCTCTGATACTCAGTTCAGGGAAATTTCTCTTGAACATGTGTGCTCATGCTCTCAACGTCTGCCCCCACAACTTGTCCTTGGTTTCAATCCATTTTCTGCTTTTCTCTAATCGAGCAGACATTCCTGGATGCTGGGGCAGGCTGCCCTGGGGACAGAGTCCACCAGGGGAGTGTGGGTCTGCCAGGGCTGCCATAACATAATACCACAGATGGGGCAGATTAACCAACAAACCTGTGTTTCCTCACAGTTCTGCATGCTGGAAGTCCGAGATCAAGGTGCTGGCAGGTTTGGTTTCTCCTTGGCTTGCAGAATGCTGGGTCCTTGCTGTGTCCTCACAGGGCCTTTTCTCTGTGCACTCACCCCTGGTTTTCTTCCTGTTCTTATAAACACACCAGCCCCACATGTTAGGGCACCACCCTTATGACCTAATTACCTTAATTACCCCCTTCAATGCCTTATCTCCAAAGACAGTCACAACAGGGTTAGGGTCTCAGCATAGGGTTTTGAGGGACACAGTTCAGCCCACATCAAAGAGTCAGGACAGAAACAGGGAAACAAAGTCCAGCTGTGTTTGACTCAGGCTAGTTGACCCTCCAGATTATGTGCATCCACACCATTTACTGAACACCTACTACGGGTCAGACTTGGGTGTAGGGGCTCAGGATAGTAGGTGGACAAGACAGGAAGGGTCTCCATGATCCAGGTGGTGACACTGTCTGGGGGAAGAGAGAGTACAAATGAGCAAAAGACACTGTACAGGATAGATGTCCTGGGAGAGTGAGGAGGGGTGAGCTTGGTGGGATGGAGATGGGAGCATTAGAGGGGTTGTCAGGGGAGCGACAGAATCTGATTTGTTTATGAGGCCCAAGTGCTGCATAGAAACTGAAGGAGGAGGAGGTTTGGATGTAGTTGTGGACTCGGTAGGAACTGTGGAGGATACAAATGTTAGACAATGAGTCTGGTTAATAGGTGGAGCAGGTGGGATAGAGAAGAAAATTCAGATAACCAATGGCGTGGAGGAAGGAGGGATTGAAGGTAGGGGCTGGGAAAAAGAGGGACTGAGGCTGGGCTGTTGGGAACAGTGTGGGTCGTGGGTGAGTCAATCAATTGAAACAATGTGATGGCGCCATCTAATTGAGGTTGGATTATTTCATGCTCACATTTTCAAGAGATATGATCAGCTCTGAGAAATGGGACTACTCGTTAGGAATTCTAGTAATGCACATCTCTAGTTTACTCTCGTCTTATATTTGATGAAAACTTCACCTGTGCCTGTTCAATTTCAGCATGTTTTTAGACGGAAAGTACATGAAGGATGAACTTAGTCCCTTTGTTCTCAACGCTGCCCTCATATTAGAAACTTTCCAGTTATTAAAAGCCAGAAAATGACACTTTCTACCAGATTACTTAATCTGAACCTCATCAGTGGGATTCTGTAATGGGTTAAATGCTTCTAGAGGGTTACTTTATGCAAAAAGGATTGATAATGCCTACTTGGCTTCCCTTCTCATTTACTTGAGGAAGAAAATTGGCCAACAAGACAGGACAGGTTGAAGATGCCAAGACTTGGCTCCAGATGGTACCTCAGGCCTCAGAGCAGGGGGTCTGCTCTCCCACCAGGCAAGGCCAAGGCACATGGTCCACACATCTTGATACCAGTCATCCCCTGTGGGCACTGGAAGGCTGTGTTGGGAAGCAGGTGTTAGGATCGTGTCATGTCCTAGGCAGGCAGAGTCTAGTAGGAGAAATCAAGAAAACTCTCTTAGAAACCAAAGAGAGATGGACGCAACTAAAGGAAGACAACCCCTCAGCACAGTGATTAGGAGGACTTGGGCAATGCTTTACCCTAGAATAAAGAGAAAATAGTGGATGGACGGGTGTGGCTCCTTCCTGGGCACTGGGCAGTTTCCTTGTTGGGCAGGGTTGGCCCTGGGCCAGATCTGATAAGGGCTGTACTGAGACAGAAGTTTGCTTCAGCGTCCAGAACTGGTGCCACTCTCAAGGCCTGCTTCTTGGGAATACAATGGGCATGTTCCCAGCCCATTTCCTGGGCAGGCAGGAGTGCCCCCAGACCGGTCTGCACAGGGCTGGGGCCAGGGCACAGAGCTGCCTCCAGATTCCCAGTCAGACTGAGGACAGCAGGCCTGCCTCCAGGGGCACTGATGGGCATGTGTCTTGTCTGGTGCCTGGATGGGCAGGACTGCTCCTGTACTGTGGCTAAGAGGGCCTGGAACTGGATCATGGGCTGCTTCAGGCTTCACAGCCAAGGACACGGTTGTCAGGGCTGCTAACTGAGGCATGAGCAGGAGTGACTCCTGCTGGGTCTCTGGCCAAGTGGTGCAGGTGGCAGGAAGAAGGCAAAAAAGTGATTTGCCATGTCCCCAGGGGCATGGTGTTGTTCTGGGCCTGTTGCCAGGACCCCCTGAGCACGGGCCTGCCTTCTCAGACACCACTCCTCAGCGTTGGGTTCCGTGCGCATTTAAGAGTCTCCTACTGGGGTCCAGAAGCTCCCAAAAAGGCACTTTTGTCAATGGATGGCTGCCAAATCATGGTTGCTGAGTGGGGACATGAGTGGAGGGCCTCCTATTCCATCATCTTGCTGAGGTCACTCGCCTGTCAAGGAATATTCTAAAATTTTAGGTAACTTATTTATTATTTTGTTCTCTTATGGTTAGTAATTTTTGTGTTCAATCTAAGATGTCTTTGTCTATTCCAAGGACATGAAGATGTTACTATATTTTTTCCTAGAACTTTTATGATTTTAGCTTTTATATTTATGACTATTATTCAAATCAAATTGAATTTTACATATGGATGAGGCAGTGGTCAGTGTTCGCTATTTCCATACCACAGGCTTGTGATCCATTAACAAAAAACCAGTTAATCATTTCAACAGAAAAAATTTGATAAAAATTCAAAACTTGTTTATGATTTTGAAACAATCTCTCAGGAAACTGGAATCAAAGGGAAGTCCTATTACCTGATGGAAGACAGGAAAATAAATAAATCAACTAAAATAATCATTCTAAGTCATTTTTCATTAGAATTTCTCCATTCAAAATGGAGATAAAAGAAATGTCATGTGTCAAAATAGCGATGTCTTAGAATTGCTGAGAGCAGCACCCTTGGTCCTGCAGAGGAGGTTCTAGATTGCGAGCTGCCCCACACGCAGGGAAGCCCTTGTCTGTCACAGTTTTCAAAAGAAATGCTCATGAGGAACAGTCCTCCAGGCTCTGTAATGTGTCACATATTTACAGATTCTCATAGAAAAGATGTTCTTAAATTCAAATGCTAAAAAATGTCTTCTTACAACGGTTTATCCTGGATGTCTGTCTCAATCCAAGAACAATACTTCACAAACCAAATTGGAAATAGGAAACATTTAAATAAAAAGTAATAACACGATATACATCCACTTCTCTGGGTAATGTAAACAGGGTCAACTAATCAGAAGAGAAAATGATGATAAGTATCATAATTGTGTCCTTTGTTCAGTATTTCTATCCTTAACTTTTATTTAAGAGAGTATGCACACTGGGTGTTCGATTTATGTTTGCAGATTTCCTTGTAAATTATTATAATACTAACAAATAATTGTTCCTGTTAGTATCTCCAGCAGGTGATGTGTGAGCTTGGTCCTGAAGGAAGGGGACAGCGGTGGGACAGGAGGACCAGAAGTGCTCAAAGAGAATGAGGCACTGGGGTTCTGGGTTAAGTATCCTCTTAGCAAAGGAGCCCCACATGTGCTTTTGTACAGGCTCCAGGGGAGAGGTAAGGCCGGAACGGGGAAAAATGATAGCCACACACACGCAGAGACTTTGAACGTGACACTCAACAGCTTTACATAATCTTGATGGGGAGAGAAACTGTGGGAAAGTTTTAAGCAGGGAGGTGCCTTTATCAGATACATGTGTTTCCAATATCGCTCTAATTACAGAGTAAAGAATGGAATACAGTGGCCAAACTGTGGGACAAGGCCACACTGAGAGACTCTGCAAGTCCAGGGGAGCAGGGCTGGGCTCCTGCACAAGGCTCCTGGAATGGCACAGAGCCGTGTGCAGTTGAGGGGAGGCTGTAGACCGAGCACAGAGAATCTCAGTGTCCATGTCCTGAGGGAGGTGAGGAGCTCTCAGCCAGCACGAGCAGGCTCTAGATGCCCAGACGAATTCTGTGAGTCTGTGCACTGCGTGTATCTCCTGCTGGGATCTAGTCCCCATGTTAATAGGAATTTCCCCCTGTTATGTCACTATAATATCTACAGAGCCCAGAAACTGTGGCACAATGGGCAAAGTCAGCACATATTTGTTGGAAGAATATTTGAATTCTCCTGAATTGCACACCTTGGTGAAAGCAGATCTGAGGCAAAGATAATGATTTCTGCTTTCTGGATATTTTGACTCTGGAGTTCTGAGTCGAATTAAGAGGAAATGTTAAGTAATAACGGTGATCTTATTGTCTATAGAACAGAAGAGATACATGCACTTGACCCTGGGGATATGGACTGCATTCCATAGATTTATGCAAAGGAAGAGGAGAAGGATGCAATGGGCCTGCAGGGACTGAGTAAAGAAACCATGGGGAGCAGGTGGATGAGGGAAGAAACTGTGAGCACAGGTGACAAGCTCCAGGAGCAAATAAACTGCAGAGTGTTTGTGAGCTGGATGGATGTCTAATAACATTTCACGTAAGAACATGTAAGATAGACATTTGTCAACAAGATGCTAAATATAGAGCTCCTGATCCAGCACAAGACCAATGACATTCGAATATTCAACTTTGTAACCCCGAAACCTACAAAGGACCTTAGTGGGAAAACGTGTGAAGAAAGAATGATGGGTTGGTAAGCTCTGTGTCCATAGATGAGACGG